GAGAGAGAGAGAGAGAGAGAGAGAGAGAGATAGATAGATAGATAGATAGATAGATAGATAGATAGATAGATAGATAGATAGTGTACCATTAATACTACAAAAGGCTGTGTTTTGTATTCTATTTTCTCCCATGAGTGGCGTCGGTACCCCACTGGTCAGACTACCGGACTCGTAATCGTAAGATTGTGGGTTCGGGGGTTCGATTCTTATGTCGGTCTGGCGTTGGTGTCCTTGAATAAAAGCACACACACACTTTAAGCGTTCTTCCCACGTGGCTCGGTCCTTTCGGAGAATTATGTTACAGTCGAAAGCCCAGCCTCTTAAATAAACCAATACAGACTTCAACAATAGTTAAGGACCACCTTGACAGATAGTCATGATTTTTTATAAAAATTCGAAAAAAGACAGCAAGGAATGTTTCAAATTTTTTGCTCTGAAAGTTGGGTTATCAACGCGTACTGCAAAGCCTCCTAAAGGACCAAAACCACCACATGCAGCACAGAAATCCTCGAGGAATTTTAGCCCAATTTGCTGTTTTTTATCGACTTGTGAGCGACACCACGGACATTCCTCAGTTAAAATTTCTGGTGCACGTCATAAACGGACGTACTGTCTCGAATTGTGCTCACTTTGGTGGCAATATAAGCCGCCGTTTGCACAAAATCCAGTATCGCATCAGCATACCACCAAGGCGAAAGCTGAGAGACTTTGATCGTGCAAGAACTATGGCATGGCTGCAGGATGGAGTTGGATCCCGAGAAATTGCCTGAAGGCTTGCAGTTTTCCATTCTGTCATTGTCCGCCTGAGGCAGCACCATCACGCCAGTGGATCAATCCAAGAACGCCCACGTACTGGACGACCCAAGAAGACCACTCAAAGTGTTTGCAAATGGCCCTTAACTTATGTTGAAGTGTAGTATTGATAGGGTAGTTAAACATTATACCATTTCACCTTCATTTTTCTTCTAGGGGCTTGCAGGATGAGATGAAACCACGCCGGAGCCGGGAAGGTGTTCCGGCCAGGGATGTCAGTCGAGTGAGTGAGCCACCCGTCTATGAGGAACCGATGACATGGCAGAAAGTGGCGCAGGTAAGGGTACGAACTTGAGTAAAAGTAAGTTAATCCACCCCCCCCCCCTCGTCCACCTCCTACCGCTTACCTGCCTCTGTTGGCTGTTGGGCTTGCAACTGAAGAGTTTTCGGTTCGAACTCGGCAAGAGCCCAATGT